TTTAAGCTGCAGCGGGTTAAAAACCATCTAAGCGAGCGAGACCTAAACCAGCGCAGTTACACAAGGCGCTGGCATCGGGCAACGCTCGGCATGGCGCGCTTGCCGGCCAACTCCTCGAGTGCCCAGCGGGCCTGCCAGGGCCCCTTCAACTGGAATGTCAGGAAAAGGTCCAGGGACTGTCTGGGTGCTGCTTTTCTTGGACGCCTACCAAAGAGCACACGGCATCACCAAAGCTACAGGGTTGGGTGGTTTTTTTTTTTCTATGCAGGGATCGCATAGTTTTTGGTAAGAATGAAGGCTTCTGGTAAAAAAGTTTATAGTGCAATCTGAATTAATTTGTGCCCACAGTGTCATTATTCATTCTCCCAAAACAGTTTAAATATAATCGTGTAGGAATGTGCTATCTCCGTAAAGATATTACAAAGTAGTGCTTATACAGTTGGTGACTACATAGACTCAATTTTAAGAAATAAATCTCTTTATGCTTTTGCAAAACTACATGTAAGACAGCAAGAAGTGACAAAGCAGCCAAGTACTTTTGTATCTTCCAAAAGCTATTAGAGTTCTCAGGGCTCTAAAAAGTTAATATACCTTATCGCACAGGAAACACACACCACGTTCCATTTAACAGCTGCTCCGCGAAGAACACAACCCAGGTCTGCTTCCTCTTTGCCAACGTGCCACCAAGGTACAACTCCTGCTGAGAAATCAGAGAGGTTCCCTTGCTCTAGACAAGCAAGTTCAGATATGTTTCTGCTTGTCAGTGTAGCCGTGTGCTTAACCAGGAAATCGGCAACAGTAGCTATATCACACATACACAATTACGTATTTTTTTTTTCCTGAAGATGACAAGAAAGAAGTCAAGCACCAGGAGCTTCAGCTCATAAATACATCGTGTTGGCCCTAAGCAACCCAGCTGGTAACAGCTGTAGCTTTAATGCAAATTTACAAAGGGAACATTTATTCAGCTTGAAAAGCACATACACAATAGTCACCTTGATAACGATTCAAAGAGAGTATCAGGTTAACATCCTACTGATAACATAATTTTTGCAAATGGAATATTTTATACAAATAAGAAATGGCAACGTTTCATTGAAATAACAGATTTAAAATTTGCTTCTTGAAGCAACTACTCTGAAATCAGTACGGCAACATGCAAGCAAATTAAGTAAAAGCAACACATTTATTTTCATTCTTTAAATAATTGTAAGGTTAAAGTCACCAATAGGTGGGTTTGGTGGTTTGGTTTTTTTTTGTGTGTGGTTTTCTTGTTTGTTTGTTTGGTTTTTTTTCTTTTAAAGAGTCTTGATATAAGACATAGTGAGAGGGGGAAACTGCTTAAAAGAATCTTCCAGAGATCCTTACCTCATTGAAAAACATTTGTTTCATGTATCTTGTTGTGAAAACATCAAGCTTTTTTCTTCGCAAAGCCCTCATGAGTGGCATTTTCATTAAAAATGAAAACAAAAAAAAGGCATTAAATTCAGATATTTTAAGTCAACTACATTTGGTAGATGCAATCCATGGCCAAGCTAAATGATTCTTCATACATCAATATTGTGAAGAGGGAAAACAATTAAGAGTGTTACACTATGCTTTGTAAACAGAGTTAACACTTTAAAAACCAACTGATTTGATTTCTGTCTATTGTAAGATTTTTAAAAAAGCAGTTATGAAAAAAGATTCTCCTGTGGTCACTGTCAGGAGACAACCATTTAGGCAAGCGTGGCAACAGCAATCAATATACTATAATATACTATAATATACAAATACAGCTGAAGATACAAATAAAATAGTCCTTTTATTTGCAATGTACGCCATGCACAGACAGAAAGTTAGAGAGAGAATTTTTAAAATGCCAGTATATTAATGCTCACCATATTGGCCTACTTCAGGAAAGACCATGAATGCACACATGCTTGGAGGCATCTTACTGACATACATATATATATATATATAGGCTATGCAGATGCTCGCAGACTACGGTTTGGCACATACATGATCATTTCACAATAACCCTTTAGGCAAATGAGACTCAAAGCACCTTCATCATTTTAAATGTGATTGATTTTAAAATGAGACAGATATTGTTATTTTAGAAAGGATGACAGAAGATTCAGTTAATATTTTTCTGTTAAATACGGTATTTCAAGACCACTTTGAAAAAAAAGAAAGACTCATGCTCCCTATGGATTCATCTCTCTGGTACTCAGCAACTTCTGACTTGACGGCTTCAGTCTTACATGCAACTTTGCAGCAGAGACAAGCTTTAAAGCATTCTACAAATATTTTGGCTTGCACACAGAGACTAAAACAAACTCGTTTTGTATCACAGATATTCAGAATCTTTGCTTGTTTCTAAACCGTGCAGAACCTTAACTGTGGGTTTAAGGATGTGACTGGCTGTCATGATGACATCTAGCAAAGGCTTGAATTCACCTTATCATACACTATGGATACACAGGTCTTTCAAAGACTGTATGCTTCTCATTTAAAGACTATTGTTTTGTAAGAAAGAACTCTTCAAATACACACCAAATTTAAAGTACATAAATGCAAAACATGGCTTTTTATCTTATTTTCTTAAGAGAAGTTTCATTTTGACAAGCAAATTATTTGGACCACAAGTGTCTACATGTCTTTACGAGTATTTTCAGAAGAGTTATGCCTTTAAAACTTATTTAAAAAAAAAAAAAAAACCAAGCAAAAAACGAAACAAGCAACCCATAGACCCTCATATAAAGTCAAAACATAGCAGAGCTACTTTTCTCCAATTCCGTGGGGACATAAAGATAGACTTCTAAAAAGATTTGGATTTAGTGCCCTGATTTAAGTGTAATTCTGCTCCACAAACAATGATGCACTTATAGAATAAAACACCTCCATGCACTGTATGTCAATGCATTAATGACATTATTCTATTTACACAATAGTTTTCCAATGTTAGATAACGTGTTATATGGAAATTAAAATAATTTTAGTTTCTGTATCTTCGTAAAGTAGAACTGTTGCTGACTTTCTAAAGTACAATGATGTGTGTATTTATACGTAACAAAACCACTAAGTTGTGCTAAGTGTTCAAAGATCTTAATTCCCACATAGCACCACCACCCAATTCTTTTCAAATATGGTCAAAGATCTCTGTTTTTTTGCAAAATAATCCCACCAAGTAAGCCCTTTCTATAGCCCTTTCTGCAGAAATGAGAATCACCTTGAAAGAACACTTTACAAGATTAAGGTTCAAATACTTCTGTCACGTAACCAGATTAGCTTGGAATCATGCTAGCATACCTTATTACACTGAATCCTATTGTTAAAAAAAAATTCAGTGGTTTGTGCACATCTTTTGAAGATGACACTTAAGATTTTCTAAACAAAAATCAGAATGTTAAAGCATACTCCTCAAACAGAAATGAGGAATCAACTACTCGCATTCTCAACATACCAATGCTTTAATGCCTTTAGAACTGAAAATAAATGTATTCATTAAGAAATACACTGTGACTTGAGTAGTCAACACTCAAGTTTACCATAATTTAAAAAGTGATTATTTTTAGCATAACCACACTAGCAAGTTATTCTGTATACTTCAGTGAAGCAAAGCTTTAAAAAAGTTGTAGAGAAATAGATCATTCATTTTTTGTGTTTTAAGGGAGCAATAAATCCTCTCCATAAAGACTATTTACACAAATGCAAGAGCAAACTTTCTGAGATCAGGGTTTGGGGTTTTTATTTTTTTTTTTTTTCTCCAAAGATTCCACCACATGATAAAAAAATTAAATGAATGTGTATTCCTGACCACATTGATATTGTCACAGCTAGAATCTCATCAGCTAGTTTACGACAAGCAACTGCAATGGGTGTAAACAAAAAACACATCCCTCCACTGGGACAAAGCTCAGTTGCAGGTTGATTGTATGATACTAATATTGAAAGCAAGAGTTAAAGTAAACTCATGTGGAATTCAGACCCAACTGAGGGAACAGTGAGAACGACACAGTGAAGGTACACTTGGGTGCAATTTCATGCTGGTGACTGTTTTTCCTATTTTATGCTTAGAGCACATTTTAAACCAGGAGTTGCATATCCAATGACACACACAATTCAAAACTTAAGTGACCATTAGCACATTTGTACACATACTTACATAAACTTAGTATTTACATATTCTAAACAAAGTTCCATTTTAACAGTTTAAGTCTTTTAACACATGAAAGAAGATAAGCTACTACAAAGAATGCATAATGGGATCACAAATTTTCCACAAGTATATTAACACATATTTTAAAGTGCTTTCTGGGTGCTTCAGATTACCCCCTTGCAGTATGAGCTTCAACGTAGTGCTGTTCCAGTCATTATAAAATCATTGAAATCATTCCCCTTCAGGTGCACTGGGAGTTCAAGAAAAATGACAACACCGTTGATGTAAAAGTTATAAGCTCTACCAACATACATGTATACATCACTAAGTTCAGATGAAGTTGTCAAATACTTTGGTTTATCATAGCTTGGGATAAATATTCAACAGAACAGAAATTGCACCTCTCCACTCTAAGTTTTTCACTAAAAAAATACCCCAACATAAATTGACAGTATTCTTTGGTAAAAACAGGACATTTGGCCAGTTTGCGTGTACATCTATTTATTAAAATAGTCTAAAAGTGAACAAATGCCACTGCTGTACTGTCAATTTACAGGAATAATCATCCCTTACTCAGTGGGGAGTATCAAATCATTAAGCTTAGCAGTTAGCTGCGTAACAAGCTGAAACACCTTCAGCAACCATTACAGGGGATCAATAATGCAGAATATTTTTGCTTAACATTTATCCTTTACATTACAAAAAAATTTAAAAAGCTCTATGCCTGCAGACAAGTCTATTACTTTGCAGTGACTACAGAAACATTATTCAACGGTGTACACTGTTAGGTTTCCGATAAGCGTGTAACAAAAACCAGGAATATGGTGTGCTGACCAACCAATATTCAGCTGCACGATATTTGTGCATTACCTACACTAAGGACCAAGAAAAGCCTATTAAAAATTCAGTTAACTGCTACAAGTTACGTGAATATATAAAAACAGAGCAGATATACAAGTATAACACTGAACATACTGTACTTTATTAGCACAAAAAGCCAGAACAAGGCACAGCAAGCAGAAAAATACATCAATAGAAGGGTTAGTGTAGCATACAAGAATAACGTTTATTGTATTTGCAGCCAAAATGTTCCCTACCTTGCACAGGTCACTGCCATAGAGAAGTAAGTAAGAACATACTGTAGCAGCTGGTAAAGAAACTAGGGAGCACTCATAATTGGTACAAAACACTAAACAGGGGTCAGGGCATTCCAACAAAATTTTAGTGCAAAAATGTCGAAGACAGAACTATTTTAAGTTCCATCTCTGATTAAATAAGCAAACAGAACTTAGAATCTTGTTTCCAAGTAATCTGTTGAAACTATAATCAGTGCATATTACTTTAAAACATTTTAAAAAGAGCAAATGGAAAGATATTTACAAGTAAAGTGTAACAGTACCTTTGAAACCTGACATTTATTTCAGACATGTCAGATCTTGTATTCTGATTATAATAATTCAACCCCTCATCATTTTCTCCATAAAAATATCAGACAACTTTAAATAATAAACATTTTTTTCTCCTGACTATTACCTTCCATTGTAAGTTACAAACAGTCAGGCCACCGAATTCTGTTTTAGAAAAAAACACCACCTTTTGTGTCATGGCAGTAATCTAAATGCCACTGAATCAGTAATTCACACTGGAAGGTATTTAACTGTCCAAGACAGTATTACTTTTGCTAACAATGCCACTTAAATCTCCAAGTGTTTAAAATAGAATTACAGTACTGAGCAGGCATATTCAAGTCTTAATGATTAGGAAACCTTATACACTGAGAAAAGCACGATTCATCTGTTAGCATCAAAACACCATTAACTCTTAATGGACTGCTTCTAATGAACTGCTCTTCATTAAAAGAAAGTACTCTTATTCACTAGTATTTGGAAACTTGTTTGTGAGCTAAATTAGCACTTTGAGTAGTGGAAAGTTTTCAAGAAGATAATTTTAAAAAAATACTTCAAATATTAGCAAAAATGCTCCTCTAATAAAGCATTTCTTTATTAGCATTACATGAATGCCCCATGGAAAAATGCCTCATAGTTTCTTCATCCAATTACTACAGCTATAAAAGGGAAACAAAAATATTAAGAAATTAGCAAAAATATTTTCATTAGGCCTTAATGAAAAACGTGCAGAATTGTGTCTGCTTATTGTTTCCAAGAGGCATCACAACTCGGTTTGATTAACAGCAGGCAGCATCTGACAGGATACTAACACTCAGCTTAAATAGGATATTGCAGAAAAGCTAGACATTGTTGGTGCGCTCGCTGCAGTTAAACTGTAACACACACACAAAAAAGCATATTCTAGAAGCTTATTCCGATTTCCATTTACTTTGCTTTTATAGGTTCCCGCTCCAGCCATCGCACCCTGACTTTTTGTTTATAGTGATACTCCTTTAGAAAGTCTTGCAACATTGAGGGTAGAGGAAGGTCATCAATTCCATCATACGTAGTGCACCTGCAGATTACTGCCCGGCAGATATACTGCAGACTAAAGGGGAAAGTCCTGTTCAGAGATACAGTAAGTAACGGTTCAAAGAACATGCAGGAGCTAGGGTCTTTGTAGTGTTCCAGAAGCCCTGTAACAGTGGAGGAGTGAAACACACAGGGATCGTGGGCATCGAAACTAAAGTTGTGATTCCACTGCTCAATGCGTGCGTGTAGCGATCGGTTATAACGACGGAAGCTCACAGAGAAGAGGTAGTCCTCCTGCGCAGAATCCCTGAGCAAAAAAGTGCCTTCGGGTTTACCCTCCAGAAGTGCTTCTGCTTCATAGCGGTCCATCACACCCCAGTAACACGGGTTACCTGTGATCTGAAGTAAGTCTGGCACAAGGCAATGGATGTAATCAATTTGAGTATGCACCTTCCAAGCCCCCTGCCTGCTGATATGGCCGTGGTTCTCTCCAGACATCTGACGCTGTTTCTGCCTGCGTGACTGCAGACAAAGCGTTGTTGTGTCCTCTTCAGAGTCACAGTTCCCTGGAGGTGTTATGTTTTTGTCCCCGGTCAGCTCAGTCATCCCAGGGGCTAACTTTGGTCCCAGTTTATACAACGGATTAACCTGTGCTGTAGCTTCAAACGTATGTATTTGGGCATTGGGAGGGGGATCAACCCCTTCTTCAATACTAAGTCTACGTCGCTCTCTAAGCCTGTCTTCTTCATCTTCTGTTGAAATCAAGGAAGGATCAAATGTGTCAAAAAAAGTTGAATGAGGACTCACAGGCGCTGTGTGCTGTTTAATCAGATGCCACTTCTGAGCCAGATCGGAGCCTGCAGGAAAAGGGCATTTCTCAAGCATTAGTTCAGAGAGATGGATCTTTCTTTTGTTAGAAAACAGAGGTTTGGACTGTTTGCTGTAAGTTCTCATGGGAAAACACAGCCCAACAGTATCTTGTAGACGCTGTCGCAGAGAACGGCTACCTACTGTCCTGTTTGATACTGCATCCATATCATGGACAGAGCTCACCCCATACCTTCTCTCCCTCCTCTGCAAACCACTTCGTGTTCTACCAAATCTTTTTTCAGTATCCAAGGAGCTCTGCGTTTTGGTAGAGCAGG